AACTGTGAAAAGAAAAGCTCGAAATCTTTTCCATTAATTAGAAACTTCACGTTTACGTTAGTTATAATGTGATGTTGCTTATAGTGAGGGGACTTTTCTGTGATCCATTTATGCAAAACAGGCATTATAATTTCCACAATGAAAGACTGAAGCAAAGTCTTATTAAAAATTATTCTAAATGTTACATTTCGTTCGTGTTTGTAAAGAATAAAATGCATAGTACTCATGATTATAAAATACTCTTCTGTTGTATTATTCCATTATTATTTAATTTAGGATTACTTATCCTAAAAATTTAGGATTACTTATCCTATCCTCGGTTAAAAAGGTTTCCCATGTTTTCTTGATGAAGTCTTTAATATTAAAATTTTAACATCGGCACAAACAGAGAAAAATAATGAACTCTCGGACGCTTACAGAAAACAGAAAGTGGGATAGTAAGCAAAGTTATTTAATTGCGTAATTTTTACATTTTAAGCTTATAGCAGTTTCGTAATATTTATCAGAGTCAAGAAAATGCTGTAAGTTAATTATTAAACGCTTATTTTACATGTATTCCTTGTAGCGGGTCCCTATGTGGACTGAAAGTTGGAGACGAGTATGCCATATATAAAATTTCTCGTAAACTATCAACTCTGCGTTAGGCACCTTTGCAGAGATTTTTTATGATTTTAGGCGGGGTTTCATGATTTTGCAGAGGGTTTAAGATTGAGGCGGTTTGGTATTATGCTATACAATGTACTTTTACACTCTATGACAAATAGAACATCTTCTTCATCCTCTTCGAAGATCACTTATATGTCAAGTTTTTAAGAAAAAAGAATCAAAGTAATCCATATCTTTATCAGCCCAATAGGGCGAAATAAGCATTGCGAAAAAATCCAAAACTATCGCATCGAAATCATAAATAACTTTTAAAAAAATTAAAAAGTATTATTTGGAGCAGGCCGAGTTAAAAAACAAAACCTGCAAATATAAGCAATTCAACGTACGCAAAAGCAAAAACGTATGTAAATTTTGAATTTCCTAGACTGAATTAAACACATATTAAAAAATTACAGCATCAAAATCATAAACAAGCAAATAAACTTAAAAATCAACAGAAGAGTCCCAAAATGCTTAATTGCAGCATATCTTTAGAATTCCCAATACAATCTTATGTGCTGCCATACAATTTTTAGCCCAGAAGGATTATTATCCCAGAACTCCTTTTTTTGAGTTGACTCAATTTTGCTGTCTTTTTTAAGTAACTACACCTTAACATAGTTAAAATAAAAATGCAGAAAATATATAATAGTTTTAATAAATCCAACTAGTACGCTTTCACAAGCCCAGCTTATAATTAATAGAAGACATAAAAAACTGCGTTAAACTATATAAAAAGAAATACGATGTTAATATGTTTCTCCTTGTATGAGAATTGTTACTAATTTAGCCATAATCCATAATTTTGATGGAGAACTCTCCAGAGCATGCATCGAAGAGTCTCTTACACCTTTTTTTACTTCCTTGTACGAAGTAAAAAGGAAGTATTTTAATCGCGTAAAGTTTCAGGCAGCATATTTCAACGAAAATATCCATTTTGACCGCTATCGAATGCAATTTAGCGATGTTTTTGCGTGATATCTGTACGTAAGGACAGAATAAAAGACTCTTTTCCTTCAAAAAAATTATAAAACTGCTTTAAAATTAATTCTGAAGAGAATTTTTCGTGGCGTCTGTACGAACGTACGCACGTACGTGCGTGCGTACGTACGTATCTCGCATAACTCAAAAACGAGTAGCCTCAAAACGTTGAAATTTTGTATATAGGACTGCTATAACATGTAGATGTGCACCTCGTATTTTGGTTGCAATCGGCGCACCAAACGTATATAAATATATTTATATATATATATCCACTCTATTACCCGGCTCAGTGATCTCAGTTTCTTTACTCTTATATGTTTGTAAATTGTACATTTTTTGCTTGAAAAATGATTGAATTATGTTGTGTTTATCTTCCCGTTAAGGTTTTTATGCCTTTAGTAAATCTCTATGCAATATTTTTAGAATTATCAACAATTTTAAAGTTGTTTAAGTGCCGCTAAGCCTAATCCTTTTCTTGATGGCGGCCATTGTTTGTTTACATTTGAAACAGCAGACTAGTGGATTTGTTGCCAATCTAGAGAAACGTAGCTTCGCAACAACAAAGATAACGCCTTCATTTATTATTGCCAATTAAATCATGCTTAATCCTTTCTGGAATTTTTTCGAGGAAATAAGTGTTTAAGATTTACTTCGTAATTTTTAATATAGATTTTTGAGTTTTTATGTATTTTGCCTTCTCGCGAAGTGAAAACTGAATTAATTGAATGAGAAATACTCAATCGTCTGTCAAAAAACTGTTTCTTTTTTGTTTTGTTTGCTTAATTTCTTTTATACATCGTTTCTAGCTTTTATTGTAGTATTTGAATAGAACATATGGCAACGATTAGATAATTCTATTCTTTAAATGATATAAATTTTGTGCATTATGAGTTATAATATGAACGAAATATATAAGTTAACTGCTATATAATTATTGTATTATCTAATAGTTAGTTTCCGTTATATAATTATTATATAAGTTAACTGTTATATAATTATTAATACTGTTAAATGAATCTAGCGCCAGTGTGTCGCTATGGTAAACAAATACTAGAGTGAATTTTAAAGAATTCATTTATTCCATTGTGGTTTATGTCCATTGTGGCCATTGTCGGCGAAGTAGATTTAATTCAATCTAATAAGTTTAAACGAAATGCAAGAAAAAGTGCGTATAATTTAATATTCCAATTTAATATTCCAATATAAGGAAGTCATGTGGTGTACACATCAGATTTGTCTTACTAGCAACTTATGGAGAGAGCTTTCGTCTGGAAAGTATTTTGAATACCCCCATGAGGCAAAGGCACTATCAAACACCGAAGCCTTCTCTGGGATTCGAACTCGGGCCCAAGGCTCAACGGCAGATTGCCATGCCACCGCGTCAACAGGGCGGCACATTGTATCTTAAAATTATGCATTGTATCTTAAGCTTTTGCTTAGTGTATTTGCTTGAAAAGCTGAAATTTTACAATTCATATTTTGTTTTATTATTTTTACAAAATCTTGGGAGTTCCACGATAATTATGCCCAATAATTCTAAGACGGAAGACTAAACAATTTAATTTCTTTCTTTATGCCTATTCCTTGTACAAATAGGGCGCAGCCCCTTATTCCTTGTATCAGTTAAATTTAACTTGTTTGTTGAAACAGACAGCTCGAAAAGTAAAACGTAATTTTACTTTCTCGAGGGAAATTTCAACCCTGCCAGTCAGTTCACATTTGAAATTAAATCTACTATTTTCTCTCCTTTATGTGACATTTTAATCAAAGCAGTAAATCTAATTTCTGTAACTATAGCTTTCAGTAAATGTTTTTCAGATTGCATTTTTCATATGCTAAATCTTGTTTTTTCCAATGCATTTATCGCTAATTCTTCACAATCTATTTTTTTCTTAGTAACAATTAGCTACAATTAGCTATTTCATTTGAAAAACATGACATTCCTTTTGTCCCTCTCAAATTTAAAGCATTTTTTCCCTCATGATAAATGGCAATTTTTCATTAAAAATTCCCAATAATATTATTTCTATGTCGTCTTCAGTTTTATTAGAGGACATTTTCCTGTGGTTTGTTTTCTTTTCTATAAATAAAGAACAGAAAATAATTTTTGCAAACATTTCACCTACAAAACTCAAACATCTGCTACCTTTTTTTTTCCTTTCAGAGATAAACCTTTCGATTCTGAAACTAGCCTTAAGTTTACGATAGAAATGTTTCTTTTCTCCTGTCACCAGTTTTCAACACGTAGAAGTTCGCGTCAAATCAAATCAAACCACTTGCTTGTCACACTCAAGTATGCTGAATAGCCTCATCCTATCCTGAAGAAAAAACGATTTTGTGTTCTTTGCTGTCTTTTCTGAAAATTAACAAAAACAATTCCTTGAACGCACTTTTTCAAATGAGCAATAGTTCCTATTGCAATGCCAGCTGAAAGAAGAGTGGAAATGCTTTCCATTTCCCATTTTTTAGGTTAACTTGTTTCGCATAATCCCTATATAACACCGCTCTGCAGAGAGAGTGTAAACAATTAGGGAATAAATCGCTTCTTTTTCTTTCGCCGCATTTTGGGCGTCGGGGCACACAAAGCGACGAGTCTTTCTCAAGGGTACCGATTTTATGCCACATTTAACCCTAGCGAAGGTGTCTCGTTGTTGCCACGTGACAACATTTTTCAAATCGACGAGTTTTTTTTCCTCGAGAAGCGGTGAAGTATTTAAGTTTCAAAATTTAACATTAATGGCGACTGTGAGAAAACAATAATCACTAGCGTAGATTTTATGTCTCTATCGCGTTTTTAATACTTGTCTTTGATATAGTTGCAGCTAAAAGAATCGTAGTGTTCAATCACTTGTAGACACATTAGGATTTTTGATACAGAGAGAGATGAAAAATGAGCAATGACCTCTCCGGGACTCGAACCACGGACCTGTCGAATACGTGATGACCTCTACACCACAAAGGCATGCTAAGGCAAAAGAAATACCTTATATACTCTCCCTTTTAAAGAGAGACTGGGGTTTTTAGGGGTTCCAATCGCCAAATCCTGGTGGTGGAGAATCATCATCCACCACCTTTTCAGCTTGGACGCCATTATAGAGGCATTAGGTTTTATTTGAAGCAGGATATGTGAAAAATGAGCAATGGGACTCGAACCACGGACCTCTCGAATACACGTCGAGCGTGCTGACCACTACACCACGAAGGCATGCTAAGAAGGCGGGAGAAATACTTTATACACTGAAAGCGCTTTTGCTTCTCTAAAAGTACGATTTCTTGGTGTTCAATTTTTTCCCAGTTCAATACAAATATTAATTTGACGTAAATAATTTATATGTTTTAATAATACTAAGTGCAGTCTTTTTATTTTGCAGGAATTGGTTATGCTCAAGTGATTTCAGTCTCATTCGTTGTTATCTTTTACAATTATCTCATGGCTCTCAGTGTTTTTTACATATATTCATCAATGAAAGAGTGTTTACCGTGGACATCATGTCACATTAATCACACTGTAAGTTCGTCTCTGCGTTTATTATTTACAGAAGAATGTGACTAAATTAAAAGCCTCACCTCAAAGCCTATTTGACTGATGTTTATATTTAAATATTCATATTTAAAAATTGAACATTGATTTCGCTATGTGGAAAGCTTAATAGAAATCGATATTCGATTAATATAATTGTTTTTATACTTTCAGAATCTCACTGCTGAATATTTTTGGAAGTAAGTAAAAATATTAATGGAATTTTGTCTACGGGGTTTATAATAGACTTGTGTATCGATATGTAAAGATAAATGGAGTCCATTTACTACTCAGATTATAACAATAACCGTATTGCGCTTATATAACAACTGATTTCTTTGTTTTCGAAGACTAAATTTATATATTATAAAATGCGATCATAGATAATAAGAAAGGGAGTAGTAGATAATAAAAATAATATAATGTGTTTGGATTGAATGGAAAAGTTTCGAAGGAACAATATGAAATTGAGATATAGTATAATAACTAAGGAATAGAAAATAATGGTAATCTTTTTTAATATGTAAATATTTTTGCGTATATATGCAACTAAATTCCGCTTATGATAATTCATTTTTAACACTCTTTGAGCGAAAGCAAACTCCGAAGTAAAAAAAAATTGAATATATATATATATATAATATATATAGATAAACATAAGGAAAAAACGTTACAATTAAGGAATTACAAATTTATTTTATAAGGAATTAAAAAGCAAAATCCTGCGCTATCTCTGCTAAGATAAAAATTTAATTTAATAGAAAATACTAAAATGATAAATTACCTCCTACGAAATGTGAAGGAAAATTTGAAAAATAAAGGTAAATTATTGTGGAAATCAAAAACTGGAATTTGTAATGAATTAAATTGGAATTGGTAATTGGTAAACCCGAAATTAATAAAAAGTAAATTTAAACAATTAAAACAGTAAAATCATTGTTGATTCCACAGAAAGACCTCGATTTTTAAGGGGAACTGGATTCCCTCTGTATAATTACCAAGAATTCATAAAGATCGCGTTTCGTTTTTTCGAATTTCTGAACTAAATACCTATTCCAGTTTTAAATTTGCTAATCAGTTTTTTATAAAATGTCTGAATTCAAATCTTAATTAACTTTATAAATACGAAAAAATTCCCCCATTCGAAAATAGGAAATTAATTTCAAAAATCAATAAAAAAATAGTATTCATTCAGTGAAATACATAGATTTAAAAATAAGAATAAATGAAAAAAAAAATTGCTTTCTAAATTTTCCTTTCTTAGGAGATGATTTATCATTTATATATTCTCTCTCTCTATCTATTTATATGCATATATATAATATATATATATATATATATGCTACGGAATCTGTATTCTCAAGTTGAGGACCTCGAAACTAGCTGCCTAAAAGTGATCAGAGGTAAATTTGTTTTATGCAACTAAAGTTACTAATTTTAGAGTAATTATTCTTTTATATTCTATCAAAGAAAGCAAAATCCCAGAGTTTACTGCTAAATGTGTAGTCTCGATTGAAACAAAAGAAGATTACACATGCTACATAAAAGCAATAACTATAAAAAGGAGTTACTAGTAATTTTGTTGTACATATAGTAGAATTTCTCTTACCACAGGACCTCATGGATTCCAGATAAGAGATATTTCCAGATAAATGAATATATTTTTTCTTAACTTACCTTAACGTCAATTTAATTGCAGCATGCAAAACTGTTGATCTCGTTTTTTGATTTATTGGCCACTATGAAATAAATACTAATACTGAACAATTTATATATTATTTGAAATTAAAAGACATACACATTTTATATTTAAAAAAATTAAGCAACATATTAAAATTAACATATATTTTATCACATAAAAGCTACGAAATTTTCATCTTACAATGGCATATAACTTCAGATGCATGCCTGCTTACAAGGTTGTTTCCGTACTTTCCAAAATTCACTGTGAAGCAGAGAAACTGAGACGAACATTTTTCGACAAAACTTACGATAATCTGCGGTCCTTCTTTAGCTTCATTCGACTTGTGTCTTGAATTGCGTGTCATCTTTAGCCTCCTCCTCCTCATCTTTCTCCTGTCCCAGTACATGCTTGATTATTTAGTACCTATCATGAGGGAGTGTAACAGGAACATCCACATAAAGCTTGCCCTTCCTGTCCATTAATATTGTTACGAAATGTACAGGCGCGGTGAGATGGCTTCCCAGCAAAGTAGTTTTAGGGTTGTCATAAAATGACAAGGCACTGTTGCCACATTTGGCGAGAAATCGCCCATTTGGTGACAAAATTGGCGATATACCCTGGACGGATGGAGAACCTTCTGGAACAAATTCTTACCGGTTTAGCCCAGAATGTTCTCGAAAACAAGCCGAAAGCTATATAAACCCTGCTGGTCCGCAGTCAGTTAGTGAGTGTCTCAGAGTGTGCCTCGTCGAGAGGGCGAGTGAGAGTGCCTCGTCTAGAGTGCGAAATAATCAGTATCGAGTTGGTGTCTCGTATAGCGAGTCAATCTCTGCGGAGTCGATCGAGTTAACAGCCGGCCAGCAAGTGCCGAGTGGGTCGTCGAGTTCACCGAAGGAGTCTGTTAGTGTATCGCGGTTAGTGCATCGTCGAGAGAGCGTGTTGAGCTCAGGGAACGACTGAACCGAAAAGTCGGGAGCTGTGCTCTGAGTGTCGCCCAGTGCATCGCGAGTTGCAGCGTGGAGAGTCTCAAGAGTACGTGGAGTTCCGAGAACGACGAAGCAGAGTCGCGAGCTGTACTCTAGTGCTTTGCCGTAAAGCCGTCTCCCCCATGATGGCCTGATAACCTGCAGGCTGTGTCGCTGATCGTGTCAGCGTGTTTTATAGTAGTTCATCGACGACTGTAAAAACGTGTTTGGAGCTGTCCTGACAATACTAGCCAATAAAGTGTGTTTCGATACTTCATCAAGTGTCGTCGTTATTCACTCCAAATCTACGAACCCCGTACGAGCGTGAAGGAAGAAAATAACGTAACAACTGGTGTCAGGAAGAGAAATCCGCAACAATATTAACTGTCTCCGAGCGTATGACAAAATCCAAGATGTCAAAAGTGTTTTAAAAAGTACCTTCTTCATTCGATTTGTCATTTAGGAACATGTTGTTGTTGTTACCAATATCACTTGTCTGACTAAGGTCGGCACAAGCCCATGGTGTTCATCGTGGTGAAAAGTCAAATGCACCTGTCGTTGGCAAGATCTTTAAGCACCATATAGGTGATAGCCCGACTTTATTCCGCCTCCAATTTTGAGAGAAAACATCCCGGGGTGGAACGAGTTCAAGGGTCTCCCACCCCTCTTTCCCTACCATCAGCATCACGAGAGGACTTCCGATTCGCCGCATATTTACATTGCTTCCATGCGACATATCCTCTGTACATTGACAAACATCCATGCTTTCTCCGAAAATCGAACCCAGGCCGAAAATCGAATCCAGGCCGGTACGACAGTCAGAGTGACTAAACATTTTCCCAGTTGGGTGGCTTTACGAATATGAACGCAAGTTACAATATATGCATACAACGACATAGTCAAGAGCTACAGAAAATACGGCATATTTCAATGTGAATTATTTCGGGACGTTACCTCTAAAGTCCACATTTCAACACATGGAAAAGGATTGCTATGATTAGATAAAGCTTGTTACGTTATGTGGTTAGATGAATTATTACACATATTTTCCTCATTCCAGCCGTTAGAATGTTAGTTAGCTCATTATATACATTTTTTAGAAGTCTAAATTTCGGATTTAAATTTGTTTCTTCAAAAATGCCTTTTTGATGACAATACCGGTTAACTGGGTACTGGTTGCGAGAGGTTTTACTGTACATAGAATTAAAATGGAGAGCACCCCAGAGGGACGGGTCCGAGGGTCCTCCCCCTCTTCCTCTACCACCAACCTCTCGAGAGGACTTTCGGCTTGCCACGTATTTGAATGCGCCAATGTCACACAGACGAACTATCCAGGCTGGCGGCAATTTGATGTGTGAGAATATTTCTACCATTAATAAGTTGAACGAATGCCAAAAAAATGACAAGGCCATTTTTTTTTATTTCGGTATTGCCAAACTTATCGATTTCTCCTTGAATATATGTTACAAATTTTATTTGAGTATTATATATTATACTACGCAATTGTATTATACGTATATGCATTTGTAATTTAATAAAAGGCAGTTATTTTCTGCCGTTTTCTTTATGTAAAAAAAAATTATTTTCATGTCAATTGTTGTAAAACGTTAAATTTATTTTGTAGGAATGAAGTTTTAGAAGAAGATCCTAAAAACACCGATGTTCTGACTCATATCAGTTGGAAACTGGCATTATGTCTCTTTATTACTTGGATTATCGTCTATGTTTCCGTCATACAAGGAACGGATTCTCTTGGGAAGGTAAAATCTTAAGTTGTATTTTCCAGCCATTTTGCACTACAACCTTATTTACTATAATTCTGCAACATTACTTTACAAAAATTGACACACTACTTATGTCCTGCTGTTACTGTAATTGTAAATACGTATCGGGCTTTTGTTAATAAAGAAATCTGTAAATTTAGCTTCCATTTCAGTTATTGTAGGTTTTAGTTACACAATTGAATTATGCAAAAATTAGAGACGTCGATAACTCACATAGTTGCAGATACTCGTATAAATTAGATTAAGATAGATTTATTAGTACAATATATCTGAGAATTCATTTACAATATTTATATTAAGAATACTCTTCGAGTACTTCGGTAATAATAATACATAAAACCTCAAAATGTCTTTATCAAAAATTGAAAAATATAGAAAAATGTAAAACACCAAATACAGATAAAAGAATTAAAAAAAATACAAATAAAATTTGAGTTTCTACGCTAAAACAAGCAATTCGGCCAGCGGACAAGAAGGAAGATTTTTCGGTGCATAAAAATTAAAGTTTAATTTCGGTTCCTCTCGGCCAAAGCACAATGAATGTGCAGAAACTGACTGAATTCACTATTCTACTAAATTTCTAATGTAAACAAATATGTCTGCTACGGTAAAAGAATTAGGCTTAGCCGCACTTAAACGACTTTTAAATTGTTGATAATTCTGCAACTACTGCACTCAGAATAACTAAAGGCATAAACATCAAAAACCATAACATAATTCAATCATTTTTAAAGCCAAAAATGCACAATTTACCAACCTATAAGAATAAAAAAATGAGGGCATGGAGCCGAATCACAGAGTGGCTTTTAGTGAGGCCGATTTCAGCCAAAAAGGGAAGTGAACAACTACATGTTATACCAGTCCTATATACAGAATTTGAACGTTCTGAGGCAACTCGGTTTTGAGTTATGCGAGATATATATACATGCATACATACTTACGTGAGTACCGACGTCACGAAAAAAAAATCTCTTCTGAATCCATTTTAAACCCTTTTTGCAACCCGTTTTGGGAAAAAAGAGTCCTTTATTTTGTCCTTGCGTACAGATATTACGCGAAAACATCGTTAAATTGTATTGGATAGCGGTCAACATGGATATTTTTGTTGAAATATGATACCCAAAAATATTCACGATTACTGTCGTGAACATTTTGAGTTTAAGAGAAAATAATGAGCGGTTTGTTTAAATTTAGATCAGATGAAAGATCTTTTAATATATAGCATTTTAATACTATTCAGTACAGTGTAATAGGTTCATTTTACAATACGCAACATCCACAAAAATGACCGTTACAACGCAGTTCGATCATTCATCTTTTTGAACAACAATCTCTCTCGTTGACATTCCGTAACAGAGAAACTTACCTCTCATGCAGTTTGATCGTGGCGCGACATTCTCCCCATCTTGAGTTTGGGGATACAAACTCAAAACAATAACATAATGATAATACATACATACAATTTTGAGATAACAATAACGTACATAATAATAATAGAAATATTTCAAAATATTAGAATGAAAATTGAAATCAATATTTTAGAGTTCAAACACAGAAAGTTCAAAAGTTTGTTTAGAAGATTATAAATCCAGTCTTTTAACTGGTTTTATTTTTCGTCCTGAGCGAGACATGCGAACAGTTTCATTAGAGTCACTATTAAACTCAGGATTTTCAGCTACCACTTCCGGAACCTTTTGAGGTTCCGATACGACTTGCTCGTAATTTGGTGTCAATTCCAAAGGGTACAGTCGTTGGATTGGTCTTAATATGTTTCCCTTTTCAGTTCGCATTTTCACAAGTCTGATGATTCCATCTTTTCCTGGAAAGAGTTCCAGTACTCTACCTAGCAGCCAATGGAGCCTTTTTTATCATCTGCACCAATTAACACTATGTCACCTACATTTATTTTATCTTCTCTTTTGTTAACTGAAGAACGAAGGAAACCCAGATACTCCCTTTAAAAACCTTCGTTTTAGATTTTCACGACGAACCTTTTGAATATGTCTCCATCTCAAAACAATATTAGTCTTTTCAATTTGATCTAAATCAGGAACATCATTTAATGGAATGTCCTGAAGAAACATTGAGGGGGTCAAGGTTTCAGTTCTTGTTCCTCGATATGTAATTAATGGTCTGCTGTTCATGATAGATTCGCATTCACATACAAGAGTCTGCAATTCCTCGTAAGACAAACAGGAGCGTCCAAGATTTTTTCTTAAAAGATCTTTCAAAATCCCAATCAAGCGTTCCCAAAAGCCTCCCCACCATGGAGAGGAGGGTGGGTTAAACTTCCAACGAATTTCGTTAAACTCTAAATTCACTTTCAATTGTGGTCCAATCTAATTGTTTCAGAGCGTTGTTTAGTCCTGTAAAATTAGTACCATTGTCTGAATACATCACAGAAATTCGTCCTCTTCTGGCTATAAACCTACGCATAGCTTGGATGAAGTTATTGGTACTCAGTGAAGGTATTAGCTCAAGATGGACGGCTCTAAATACGGCGCAAGTAAAAAGCACTATCCACATTTTTTGTTTAGATTTAGTCAACAGAGGTCCAGCTATATCTGCACCTGATACTTGAAAAATTGCTGCTACTTCTGTTCGGTCTTTTGGAAGAGGCGGAAAGGTACCTCAAGATGTTTTACCTTTTGCCTTTTACATATTAAGCATTCTTTGATAACACTCCGGACAGTTCTTTTCCCTTTCACTATCCAAAACCTTTCCCGTAAAATAGTCAGTAGAGTTAATGTCCCAGCATGCTTGTTAGCAATATGTTCTTGGGCTATAAATCTTCTCACTGCCAGGTGTTTCGATGGTAGAATTATTGGAGAAATAAAATCTTTCGATTCTTCCTCATTTATCAATCTGGACTTCAATCGTAAAATTCCTTCTTCATCTTCAAATATTAGAAGACCTTTCAAATTTTTTCGTGTTTCTTCATTAGAGTAACATTCCTTTTGTATTACACGGAAAATAGTCCTTTGTGCATTTAACAATTCTTCATTTTGAAGTTCCTTACATTTTCTTAAGTCCTTGGCCTTTGGTTGAAAACGCAGTATCCAAGCCATAACCCTAATCATCTTTGAAAATCTAGAGAATCTTCTGGCTAACTGTAATGGAATTGACTCTAGCTCTGTGTTACTAGCAGAGATGACTGACTTTCGTTTCTCTATCTCTACTTCTTTCTCGTTAATATTTATAGCTCGTTCGTTAATATTTATAGCCATTGCTCCTTCGAATTCTTCAACCAAGCTGGCCCTTGCCACCACTTGAGTTTCTGAAGTTGCCTAGGTCCCCAACCTCTTGATAAAATGTCTGCTGGATTCTGGTCAGTTGAAATATGGAACCAATCTTCCGGAGTTGTCAATTTTCTAATTTCACTTATTCTGTTTGTAACGAATACCGACCACTGTTCTCGACGAGTTATCCACACAAGAACTGTGGAAGAATCTGTCCAAAAGTAAGTCTTGACGTTGGGAAGTTTCAGAGCTTGCTTCACAGAACTAAACAGCCTAGCACCTATGGTAGCGGCCATTAATTCAAGACGTGGTATAGTAATAGTCTTCGTTGGAGTTATTCGTGATTTGGCTTGAAGTAATTGAACAGTCACAGAACCCATACTGGATTCACTTCTTCAGAAAATGCATGCCGCATAAGCTGTCTTACTGGCATCGACAAAAGTATGGATACTTAAATTGGATTCCTTCATCACACCTAACCAGCTTGGAAGTTTTATATTTTTGAAGTATTTCAGTTGTTTTCTCCATTTAAAAATTTTTTTTCTTTATTTCATCATTCACTTCATCATCCCATGATTCTTCCAAGCGGCCTGCAGCAAAATCTTAGGCTGAATCATAACAGGTGCAAGGAAACCTATGGGATCAAATACTCGACTAACTAATGAAAGTATTTTCCTTTTAGTTACCTTTTCTCTGTCATCAAATTTCAAAGATTCGGTGTCTATTTCTAAGGTATCTAAATCTTTGTCCCAAATCAGTCCTATTACCGGTGATGTTGTACTTTCTGAAAATGCAGGAATGCCAGAACTTTCCCATCCCTCTGAGATCAAACATTCCTTCTTTCATTACATTAGTTGCAGATTCGATGAATATTTCTAGTTCGTCATTATTTTGTACACTAGTTACGCAATTATCGACATAAAAACTATCTTGTAATTTTTTAAGAAATTCTTCAGAATATTTTTCTTTCCACGATTCTTTGGATAAATGATGGTCAATAACCGCCATCAGCAAAAATGGACTACAAGTAATGCCAAATACCACACGGGTGTGACGAAATGTCTTCACTCTACCATCATCACCATACCAAAGAAATCGTAAAAAATCTCGATCTCTTTCATTTAGAGATATCTGTAAAAAAGCTCTTCTGATGTCTGAAATCACACCAATTTCATGTAAGCGAAATCTTGCTAGAATAGAAGGAATAGTTTCAATCAAATTAATTCCAGTCTCTAAGCAATCATTTAGAGATGGCTGATTAGGAAGCTTTGCCGAAGCATCAAAAACGGGTCTAATTTTCATGGAAGATAGTGAGGACGTTTCCTTAATGACTGGACGATGTGGGAGGTAATGAACAACGGGTAAAGACAACTCCTTTTGGGGAACTTCTTCAATCACTCCTTCCTGCAGCCATTCATTAAAGACTTCATGATACTTTTCACGATATCCGATTTTTTCCAACTTCTTCTTCGTAGTAGATTCGAGGTCTTTTCAAAGATAGGTCATAATTGTCAGGTAAGACTGCATGCTCAATCTTCCAAGGCAACCTCGTATCTACCATTTTCTAATTGACGAACTGTTTCTTGGAAATGAACCATAATAGCTCTTCTTGACTCTTCTTTAGTTTTTTGTTCAACAGGATCTCGGATACCCAATAATTCTAAGTCCCACAACGATGAAATAGGCAGGTCTTCTTGAGATAACATAGAAACTATAGTCATATTTACATTGTGCTGA